CCGCTGTTCGCTAAAACGTCATTTGCTAAACGTCATTCGCTTATGTGATATGAACCTTGACGTCATAGGAAGAGCGGAGAGGCCTGTCAGTCTAGGGGGTTTTGGAAGGCCGCACCGGTCCAAAGTAATAGGGACCTTTAGCAAAACCGTTACCGTGTTCGGCGTACCCGCACTATCGAAGCTTTTGAAGCATGCTTTTAAGCGCGTGCCCCGCGGTCACGGTATTTTCTGGGCGCGCGCCTAAAAGCATACTCCAAAGGCTCCGGTAGTGCGGTACGCGTAACACGGTAGTGGTTTTGCTGAAAGTCTCTAATGAGACGACCAACTCCGACGATTCTCGAGGCAGAACAACGTCGCATTCAGCGCGCGGCCCAACTTTTATTTACAACATGACGTCATAAGCAGGCACCGCGTGTACGGTCGTACCATAGCGCAATCTCGAAACACTACAGGACCTTTAGCAAACCGTTGCCGTGCTCCGCGTACCGCACTACCGGAGCCTTTGAAGCGTGCTTTTAAGCGCGGGCCCGGGTGGTACCGTGACCGCGGGGCGCGCGCTTAGAAGCATGCTTCAAAGGGTCCGTTAGTGCGGTACGCCGAACACCCGGCAGCGGTTTGCTAAAAGTCCCGACTAAGCGAAGTCAGATTACTACATCCCTGGCTTCCGAGATTTTTGGCGCGCAGGGTTCTCAGGCCGTTCCATACGCCGGGAGACACCTTAAAGGAGCTGTGGAACGATATTCAATTGGAATGTTTTTCACTTGACACGAGCTTACTGGCACACCTGGGACTCAACGATACTCACACGCAACGCCACTGGCCAAGAAACTCCTTTGTTGCGGTGTAATTTCAAGGACAAAAGCGATCATTTTCATTCAATCTCTCCTTTGCAAAATTTGATGACGTAACTCGGGGATCGCAGTACACCCAAGTGACGATATTTGAATGCGGTTCATAGATTGGACCCGAGCATTGCGTGGGTACTCGACTTTGGCTCGTGATAATTGCTAGCTCGAGAAGCATTCGGGTAGTGACCCGTGTCCAATCGCTGCAACGACGACAACAGCCGAGCCATAACAATGTCTGGAACTCAGCGCGTGTCCTGCGCTTTGCTAACCCCAGCGCGTGGCTATGATCAACACTGGCGGCATATAATCGGCTCCAGATCACGTGGCCGCTTGTTCTGGCTGCGAGTTGAGGGGGTGAAGGCTGCTCGTTTTTTTTTTTAATTTTTTTTTCTGGGACTTCTATTGCGTGGAGTGAAAAACGAACGCGTGTTTCATAGGTCATTAACGTTAGGGATCCGTTTTAAGCGGTATTTGCGCAGAGTACAAAAATTGTTGCATTGCTCCTTTAAAGAGAAGTGTCAGAGAGCCTGTATTACAGATCGTTTTGGGGTCACGGGTTATGGACCGCGGTTGCAGTACGAGCTGCGAGGGCGTGCCGAAAGCGGTGATCGACTGCAAACGTCTCAACCTTTCCGCTTGCTTTCCTCCTCGGCCCGCAAAAACGCAGCACATGCTCACTTCTGACTAGTCTCCGCAGGAGGCGTCGGGCAATTAAATTGCAAACGCTCCCCATGGTCTGAGAAAGATCTCTACAATCTAGGCTCTATAATAGGAGACTACGCACGTTGCGCCGCCGTGCGGTGGAAATAGCCGCGAGCTGCATTGCTTTTTCATCGGGTCTGCTCACTTGCTTGTGCAGCTTGAGCCTGCTGCACGCAGGGAGCAGTATGTTTGCTAGGTGGACAGTGAAAATGCGCTTGTTTGCGGGAATTATACTCGTTGCTTGCTGCAGTTGACCTTGCTGCAGACTACCGGGGCGGGCTTACTAAAAATTGAAACAAAAACCTGCCAAGCCTGGGCGCGCCAGCGCTTTAGACTCGAGCTCAGATGCCACACCGCTCATGCCATAGCTTTGGCAGGGCCTTCTTTTTCATGCTGCTCTTTGCCGCGTGTACAAATTTTACCTTTGTGATGTTGGTATGGACATGAACTCGCCCCACGTTGCGGTGCTCTGGAGAAACTGTGCCATACGCTCCTTTTGCTGGGAGCCGAGTGTTCGGATGGGCCGAAGGAAAGCTTTGCGCGCCAAAAAATCTCAGAGGCCATGCTACATCAAGGTGGAAAGTTGGGCGAGTTGGTTGATGGTCATATTGAATGGGTTAAAACAGCGCAAAAAAGACGAAGGACCAGTAAAAGGAAGCGCTGTGTCTGTGTGTTTCCTTTTACTGGTCCTTCGTGTTTTTTGCGCTGTTTTAACCCATTCAATATGGCCATGCTACATTTTCCCTCTTTTAAGAAAACAATGAACGACGTACAAAGCAACATAAGGAGAAAAGTACGATATAATACCATTTAAAGCTTCAAAAGAATGAACTCCACAATAGGTCACTTTTCACTTCAGTACCTTTTCCACGTCAAAAAATGAAACTGTTTCCCCTTTTTTTTAAAAAAAAAAAGAAAAGAATTGTGGGGAAAGTTGAGAATACAGCTCATGGCAATTGGTGTGCTAATTAGTTAGTGTTAGTGTGTTAGGGATTGCCATGGCTATGATCGTTGTTGAGTATGAACCAAACACAATTGGAACGCACACAGGAAAATTGTTCTGTAACCCCGCGGGGGCTGCAATTTCCAGACCACTGTATCTAGAGCTGATATAGGATATAGCAACGTTGACATAACACAAAAATTACTAAAAAAAAAAAAAAAAAAGAAAAGAAAACTACACAGCCTGCAGGGTCTGTAAAATTGAAAACAAAAATGCAGATACGTGTTTGTCATCAGGACTGAACATTACAAGGATACAGTATCGTAAAAACACATTGCATGACGTTCGAAGTCTCTCAGACAGATGGAAAATGGCTAAAAAGGTATAACGGTATTGTCTGTTAAAAAAAGAAAATGAACATGTGCAATAAACGAGAGCAGAACATGAAATAAATACAACCCAACAAAATATCACCGGGCATCACAAATTTCAACACTTCCTGGGCATTCTCAACCGAACACATCGATACACATAATACTTGTAGTTCTTACCCTAGGCACTTAACACATTAAACGCACTAGTATGTAAAGTTCAATACGTCGACGACCTTACGTTTGTAACGTAAGAATGCCTACACATTTTTTAAATCTGATATTTCCAACAACTTCGACTTTTATGATGAGTAGAATGACAACTCATCATATTTGAAACAGGCTGGAAGAGTTATTTTTCTCTTAGATCGACCCTGCGGCTGAGATTGGTCAGTATTTGGATGCTGTGTGGTTGGCAGGACAACTTCACTAACACTAACACTCACAACACAGCAGTCGTTGTGGTCTTTCAGTAGTGCCGTTGGCGAAGGTGTGTCAGGCGTTGAGAAAAGAGGCGTGCTTGTAGTGGGCCCAGCAGGATGAGGGAATGGTGATCTAGGTGGACTCATAAGGCGATGCGCGAACCCGTCAGGCTCAGAATGAGAAATTGAGGATGACTTCCCAGGATCAGGAAATGAAGATGACCTCCAAGGATCAGGAACTGACTTCCCAGGATCAGGACCTGAAGATGATCTCCCAGGACAAGGAACTGGAGATCACTTCCAGGACCAGGAACGGGAGATGACTACCCAGGGTAAGGAAGTGAAGGTAATCTCCCAGGATCAGGAGCTGAAGATGGCCTCCCAGGATCAGGAACTTGAGATGACCTCCCAGTATCAGGAACTGAAGATGACTTCACAGGATCAGGAACTGAAGATGACTTCCCAGGATCAGGAACTCAAGATGACTTCCCAGAACCATGAACTAGAGACTTCCCAGGATCAGGAACTGAATATGTCCTTGCAGGGTCAGGGACTGAAGGACCCCCAGGATCAGGAACTGAGGATGACCTCTCAGGACCAGGAACTGGAGATGTCCTCCCAGGACCAGGAACTGGAGATGACTTTCAGGATCAGGAACTGAAGATGACCTCCCAGGATCAGGAACTGGAGATGACCTCCCAGGATCGGGAACTGGAGATGACCTCCCAGGATCAGGACCTGAAGATGATCTCCCAGGAGAAGGAACTGGAGATCATTTCCAGGACCAGGAACGGGAGATGACTACCTAGGGTAAGGAAGTGAAGGTAATCTCCCAGGATGAGGAGCTGAAGATGGCCTCCCAGGATCAGGAACTTGAGATGACCTCTCAGTATCAGGAACTGAAGATGATGAACTAGAGACTTCCCAGGATCAGGAACTGAATATGTCCTTGCGGGATCAGGAACTGAAGGACCCCCAGAATCAGGAACTGAGGATGACCTCTAAGGACTAGGAACTGGAGATGACTTCCCAGGACCAGAAAGTGGAGATAACTTTCCAGGGTAAGGAACTTAAGATGACCTCCCAGGATCAGGAACTGGAGATGACCTCCCAGGATCAGGAACTGGAGATGACCTCCCAGGATCAGGAACTAGAGCTGGCCTCCCAGGATCTGAAGACGACCTCCAAGGATCAGGATTTGAAGACGGCTTCTCAGGACTAGAAACTGAAGGTGACTCCCAGAACCAGGAACTGAAGATGACCTCTCAGGCTCAGGAACTGAAGATGACCTCCCACGAACAGGAACTGAAGATGACCTCCCAGGATCAGGAACTGAAGGTGCCTTCCCCGGATCTGGAACTGGAGATGACCTCCCAGAATCAAACTGAAGATGACCTGCCAAGATTAGAAACTGAAGATGACCTACCAGGATCAAGAACTGAAGATGACCTCCCAGGACCAGGAACTGGAGATGACTTCCCAGGATCAAGAACTGAAGATGACCTCCCAGGATCAGGAACTGAAGATGACCTCCCAGGATCAGGATTTGAAGACGACCTCCCAGGATCAGGATTTGAAGACCACCTCTCAGGACCAGAAACTGAAGGTGACATGTCAGAACCAGGAACTGAAGATGACCTCTCAGGTTCAGGAACGGAGGATTACCTCCCAGGATTAGGAACTGCGGATGACCTCCCAGAACCAGGAACATATGATGGCCTCCCAGGATCAGAAACTGAAGATGACCACCCAGGATCAGGAACTGAAGATGACCTCCCAAGATCAGAAACTGAAGATAACCTCCCAGAATCAGGAACTGAAGATGACCTCCCAAGGTCAGAAACTGAAGATGACCTCCCAGAATCAGGAACTGAAGATGACATCCCAGGACCAGGAACTGGAGATGACTTCCCAGGATCAGGAACTGAAGATGACCTCCCAGGATCAGGAACTGAAGATGACCTCCCAGGATCAAAAACTGAAGATGACCTCCCGGGGTCAGAATCTGAAAACGACCTCCCAGGATCAGGATTTGAAGACGACCCTTCAGGACCAGAAACAGAAGGTGACATGTCAGAACCAGGAACTGAAGGTGACCTCTCAGGATCAGGAACAGAGGATTACCTCCCAGGATCAGGAACTGGAGATGACCTCTCAGAACCAGGAACAGATGATGGCCCCCCAGGATCAGAAACTGAAGATGACCACCCAGGATAAGGAACTGAAGATGACCTCCCAAGATCAGAAACTGAAGATGACCTCCCAGGATCAGGAACTAAAGATGACCTCCCAGGACCAGGAACTGGAGATGACTTCCCAGGATCAGGAACTGAAGATACCCTCACAGGATCAGGAACTGAAGAAGACCATCTCTGAGGATCAGGATCTGAAGACAAACTCCCAGGATCAGGATTTGAAGACGACCTCTCACGACCAGAAACTGAGGGTGACATCCCAGAACCAGGAACTTAAGATAACCTCTCAGGATTAGGAAATGAGGATGACCTCCCAGGATCAGGACTGGAGATGACCTCCCAGAACCAGGAACAGAAACAGAAGATGACCTCCCAGGGTCAGGAACTGAAGATGACCTCCTAATATTAAAAACTGAAGATGACCTCTCAGGATCAGGAACTGAAGATGACCTCCCAGGATCAAGAACTGAAGATGACCTCCCAGGACCAGGAACTCAAGGTGACTTCCCCGGATCTGGAACTGAAGATGACCTCCCAGGATCAGGAGCTGAAAATGACCTCCCAGGATCAGGAACTGAAGATGACCTCTCCAGATCAAGAACGGAATCTCCCCGGATCAGGGACTGAAGATTATCTCCCCAAGTCAGGAACTGAAGACGACCTCCCAGGGTCAATAACAGAAGATGACCTCCCAAACCAGGAACTGGAGTTAACTTCCCAGGACCAGGAACTGAAGATGACCTCCCAGGATCAGGAACTGAAGATGACCTCCCAGGATCAGGAGCTGAAGATGACCTCCCAGGACCAGGAACTGAAGATGACCTCCCAGGATCAGGAACTGAAGATGACCTCCCAGGATCAGGAGCTGAAGATAACCTCCCAGGATCAGGAACTGAAGATGACCTCTCCAGATCAAGAACTGAAGATGACCTCCCCGTATCAGGGACTGAAGATTATCTCCCCCAATCAGCAACTGAAGATGACCTCCCAGGATTAGGAACTGATGATGACCACTCAGAATAAGAAACTGAAGATGACCTACAAGAATTAGGGACGGGAGATTGAGGTCCTGAAGTAACGATATTCGAAGCATCCACTGTGGTACATGCTGGTGTTTCGTTAGTAGCCGGCTTCGGCACAGACGAACCGGATACAGTAGAAGGTACGGCCATAGAGGGCGTAAGACAAGATCAATTTGTTTATTGTTCATAGATGTACTGGATGCATTCGCTGAATATCTAAAACATGAATGTTGTATAACAGGAGACGAATCATCATCTCCCCAGACGAAGTCGAACCTTATACTTCTTCAGGTCCCCCTAATTGAAGAGACGTGCGAGTCCAGTCGGACGCGTTCCACAGGCGTCCGTCAGAAAACCTGTATGCGGCAAGGCAAACTTGTTCTTGAACTACCTGAGGCTTGGAGTATTTCCTAGTTCTTTGTCGGTAGGACGATGATGAAAGACGCAGACGGCTTGGCCTTGATGAAACTGCGGCCGGTTCGCACTTCAATGAGTATTAGCATACGTTTTCATCCTTTATTGGTATTGCTGTACTCTTTCTTGAATATGTTCACGATGTTAGGTAGTCATACTAGGAACTTATGGGGTTGGTCTCTATTTAAATCCAGCTTTGAACAATGAATTCGATTATGCAACAAGATGGAAGGTGCTTGGCCTGTCGCTGAATGTGGCGCTTGTCGATACGCCTCAGTATAGTCGCGGACAGCATCTGGAAGGGGTAGTTCATGGACAACCGCCGAGTGTAGGGGATGCATGACATCACGGTTTAATCGCTCCACCACACCGTTTGTTTGTGGATGATACAGGGAAGACTTCAAATGACGTATCCCATGACGTTGCAGAAGTTTGTTGAGATTGTACTGAGGTGAACTTCACACCATTGTCAGCATCTAACTTGCAAGGCAGAGCTTCACTCGCGAAAAAACCTTCAGGAAGGTGATGATTGTCGGTGAGGTAGCCGACGAAGTGGCACATACTTCCCGTCGCTTGAAATGGACCGTTCCATCAGGACGACGAATAATTGTTGGCTGGGTGGTGCTTGATCCACCGGCTCAACGATGTTGATCCTTAGCTTTTCCCAGTGTTGCTGCGGAAATTCCATGAGCTGCAGGTGCGCTGGTGATGCCTTGACAGGTTTGCCCATGGAATGACATAAAGTACAATGCTGGATCTTAAACGTAATGTGCTGGTTCACATGGGGTCATCAATACTTGTTACAGATAATGCTGGTGGTCCGAAAAATCCCTTGATGTGTTTCGCGTGGAAGAGTGGTGATGTTCTTGTAGTGCAGAAGGAAAAACTATCTTTTCGCCTTTAAACAAGAAATTATGAAATGAGAGATGGTCTCGAAAGAAAAGGTCGCAGGTATGGAAAGGTGGAATTGTCTCCCGGTCGGGGCGACATGGTTTTGCGAATAACGCAAGAAAGCATAAACAATTTATTAGTGATTTATTATATGTCCCTTCTGGTGGACAGCGGCCGTAGAAGTACCGCTCGAGCTCTGTTCTCTCGCTCCAGTCACTCGTCGTCTTCCTCTCTTTTTTTTTGGCGGCTACAGATTGTCCTTTTCTAGTGATGTAGATGGCAGAGAGGGGTAGCCCACGTGACGTGGCGTCGATGATGTGTGGAAGGAGTGATGTGGAGGGTTAGTGCAGACATATGATGAATAGGATGATGGGGCGATGAGTCTTGGTGGTCGGGGCCAAATAGCGGGTTTGAGTTGGTCAACAAACACCATTTATCTTCGGCCACCGAGGTCCAGGACAAAACATTTGTCTCGTCGTTCTATCACCTGAAATAGGCCGTCATAAGTCTGCCGTAATGGCTTTCAAACGGCGCCCCGCCCAACAATGACGTGTGTAGACATTTGGAGAGATTGTGGTATATGAATCGGTGATCGTTTTTGTCGTGTTGGTTGAACTGCGCTAATTCGGCGCATGACAGCTTTTAGTTTGGTCGCGTAATTCGAAGGGTCGGTCATGACTTCTCTATCATTCGGAGGAAAGAAAAAATCTTCTGGAATACGAAGAATAGTGACGTACGCAAGCTCTGCGGGGATACATCTGATATTGTTTATGACCGCTGATTGGAGTCGAAGGAGAATGAGGGGTAGTAATGTGCACCAACTGGTGGAATCTCCCTGTTCCAAGAGTGCGTCTTAAGAGATCGACGGAATTTTTCGACCATGCCATTAACTATGGGGTGGTAGGACGTCGTGTGAATGTGGCGTGCACCAAGGAGCTGCGCGAGAACGAAAACCTTGGAGGACGCTTAAGCTTCGTCTTTAAGAGTGGAAGCGGCTAGCGTGCCGTGCGTGGGTTCGGATCCCGCCTAAAATTATTCAAATTGTTTCTTTAAGGCAAATGAATTACTTCATAAAGTGAAATAATTGAGACGAGCGGCGACCTTTAATTCGCATTACATGTCATGCTTTGATCACTTTCATTCCAGATTGACCTCACGTTTCACGTAAGCCTTGTGGGTTGTTTGGTATTCCCACGCGAGGTCATGTTTCTGTGACGTCATGACCCTATCGACCAATCAGGTTTTTGGCGTCACGCAACCGACGCCTGCTTTTCTGCGACACGAGCTCCTTCTATCGCGTTAAAAGGGACCACTCGAACTGTCATCCTCGGTCAGTTGTTACGCTGGACGGCCCACCAAATCTAGCAACCCATCCGCTAATGAAAACCCTGGTGATGGTGTTGATTGTGATATCGGGAATGGGATCGGCTTCTGGCCAACATGTAAATCGGTCGATGTAAGTAAGCAGGTAGGTATTACTCCTTGATGGAGATAAGGAACCGATGGTGTCGATGTGAATGTTACGAAGACAGGTGGTGGGCAGTGGGAATACATAAAAAAGGTGTCGAGGTGTGTCGATTATTTTTTTTCGCAGCCTATGCATCTTTGTGTCCACTCTCTGACATTCTTATTTACGCGATGCCAAAGAAAACGTTAAATGATCAGACGTTTTGTCGCACGTTGTCCAGGGTCGCGATAGTCCATGAAGTGCGTCATAAATCTGACGGCGAAATGCAGAAGAGACGATGGGCCGCAGCACTCCAGTGAGACATCAGAAAGGAAAGTCTGATCACATTGTGGTATGGTGATGTTTTTGAGCTGCAGAGGAAATGAAATTGGGTGGCAGACTGCTCCGATGGACTGCTGTAAAACTGCGCTAACGGCCGTATTCGATGCGTCGACCATGATGTTGAGTGGGGCATTCGACCTTAAATAAAATAGTAGAGTGCCATTGTGGTTAGTGCTTGTTTGACCTGGACAAAAGCTTGGGCAGTTTTCCAGGACCACTGTAGTGTGCGGAAGGGGTAAGGAGATCGCGGTGCTACTCTCCGCGATCTAAGAAGGGCCTTCTGGATTACAGGTCGGCTCATTCAAAACTGATTAAGAGGGGCATAGCACTCTCTTGCTTGGGTGCAGCCTTGAAAAAGTCGTGCCCTCATACGCTTTCTGAGAGCTTTGGGACACAGGTGCAAAGGTTACGAGCAGCGGGGTTTCCACCGGCGTTACTGTCTGACGTTGCAAGTGCATTATTGAAGCGGACTAAAGGATCCCAGGCGGATAAGCCCAGCGTAGAAAAGAAAAGGCCTTTGGTGATCCCGTATATCCACAAAATCTCCCATAGTCTAAAGAAGGTCGGAAGCCGATATAACATACCGGTGGTGTTTTCAGCACCCCTCAGACTTAAACAGGTCTGCTCTAGGATTGAAGCAAGGGCGGAAGGGCACCCAAAACGAGAGTGCAGAAAGAAACATGCGAAACCGTTCGTGAGATGCTGTGAGGGGGTTGTTTATAAGATCTACCTCTCGTGTAATAAGAGTTACGTCGGGCAGACAGGACGTTGTTTAAACGATCGGCTTAGAGAGTATAACTACTCCCTTAGTGCCACGGTTGGAGGGCACCTCTCGTTGCACTGCAACGTATGCAAGTGTAAACCGTCCTTCCCTGACACTGCAGTATTAGGACGAAACAAAGATAGATTGGCGAGAGAAGTGCTTGAGGCCTTTCACATTGTCACTCTGGGGGATCGGTGTGAGAGTGAGGCCTCAATAACGCTTTCACAAAAAGAACTTGAATTTATGCGCGAGAGGGTGAAAGTTGGCCACGCGTTGATGTGATGGTGCTGATAGGGGAAGGGGCTGACACGTACATGTCTGAGTGGGAGCGCTGATTGGGGGTCTTCCTGGTGTGTGTGTGTGCGTTTATCTCATTTTTTTCTTTTTCCTTTTTCAAGTAATAAAGTTTCAGTTGCG